TGTCGAGTATGGTATAATAGAATTGCCAAAAATATAACTAAAATTGAAATTCATATGAGAATTATGCTTCACTGAAATGACCAATTTCCATGGCCATGTGGATCGACGGATTTAAAACTTTTACTTTTTACCTCCCATGATACTGACGAGGAAGTGCGAATAATTGCATGCCCTCCCCTGTGAGGTCTTAAGTCACCTGATTCACGAGCCCTTTGTACTGAATTAACAAAGGCACGAGGGGATGGTTGCACTCGATTGGGAAACCCCCCGGAAATAAGAATCATGTCCACAAGTTCAGCATTTTCGTAAACATGTGCCATTTTTTATTTCGTTTGAGCCACGCAATAAACACCACTATTCACTCACGCGTTACCGACTGACACATTGATAAAAGTGTAGTAAAAACATCGTTTCAAATTCTTTCGCTTTTTTGTTTCCGATGCGATGAACCGATAAGGCGGATTATATCCGTTGTTGCCAAACACGAGCACATAATATCATTGAGACAGGGCGGTACTCAAACTTCTAAAGGGCTATAACTTTGTTACTTTAATTTTACCAGAAAAATGTTAAAGGAAAAAAACATTTCTTTTGATCAGATCTACTCACTGTTAAAATAAATGACTCAACTTCGAAGTCGCTTCTAGCGCGCCTATCCCCGTATATCATTTGTTCTTAAGACAACGAACCAAAAAGGAATACAACTTTGTCGAAGAGGAATCTAGGTCTGGGTAGGCCAGTGAGCACTGACAACACATTTGCTCACTGACACCTCAAAGATGGTCGCCTGCAAGAATTTGTCTTATTTTTGAAGAGGCTTATAGACTGGACACTTATTTTATGTAGTTGACTGACTTGATCCATTGAATTCCTTCCTAAGAACTAACTTATGCTGGACACGTTTTTTTCTGAACTGACGGCTTGGTTGCGTGGGATTCGCTTTTATTCTGTTCCATCAAGATTCTCAGCGATCCGTATGGAACTACTATCACGATTTTTTTAAGAACAAAACGTATTCAAAATAAAGCTTAACACGCTGTAGGTTGAAAACAAAGAATAATCAGACCTATGTTTATATGAACTTTTCTTCTTAGTCACTCAAAACATCACCCCCTTCAACGTTTGGCCAAGTAGTTTGCTAACAACTTGTATAGACATCCCAATTATTGCAACCTCCCGTATTATCATCAGAATATTTCATTTCAATAGCATGCATTTCACTCGTAAAAATTGTATCACTGCGCACAGTATACCGCCTAATAAGGAATATAAAAAATAAGTTTTCACTGTCAATATTATGAAGAAACGAGACACTTATGAATAATACATACAGATTAACATATTCATATTATACGTATATGAATGATATATCTACCTATATTGTGAATTACTATTGCGTAATGTAAGGCAGTAACGGCATAGTGGGTACTCCATTTGTAGGCCAGACCAAGAATGACGTGATCAAATTATGTACATGCCAAATCCCTTATTTAATTCTGAAGTAGTGTGTTGTTATTTGATAAAGTCAAATGGCACGTTGCTTATCATGGAACTAACTGTCAATAACAGCTGAAAGCCTGATCCAGTAATTCTAAGTTCCTTAAAGGAAGGAGAGTATTGTGAATCGTTGAGAGAAAAAAAAACGTCATGCAAATATCTGGAACAGAAGCTGCTGAATGTTATTTTCGAATATTTGTGTAAATAAAGACTTGTGAGATGAGCACAGATATCCAACCAAAAACTTGCTTGTTTCCCAAATTTCCTCACACAAATTGTCCAAAGCTAATGGCTACAAAATTGTTCAGTAGATTGCCTGACACTCTGAAGATCTTGCCATTGGTATAACTTAAGTACTAGGGAAATACCACTAGAACAAAAACAAAACGCTTACTACTCTACGAATGAGATGATGAGATAATAGATAAAATACCTGCTTAACAATTATTGAGGTCAAGTGGTGAATCTAGAGTTTCCTATTTTTTGTAAGATGGGTTCCTTTAGTGATCAATCTTTCATCAACATGTCAATTCTATGTATAATTTTATTCTATCTATATATACGCTTTTACGAAACATAATAATGCTTGTGCAAATGTCATATTCCGCGATTTTGATTTTAATTTATTATTTGTTATTTGTTTTACTCTTTGATAATGACTATTTTACAACTTTTACTGTAGTTTTCTATTTTCTGACATCTTCTATACCATGAACTGATAGCCTACCGACCTAATAAAGATTCTGAATCTGATTCCAATGTTTAAAAATGGCGAAAGTTCATTTAATAACTAGCACGTAAATACGAAGGTATTAGAGGGTTTTTAGTGCTCTCGTTATGCTGCTTCGGCATGATCTTCCTTAATTCGATTTTATTCGTTATCGAAAGAGGGCTTATTTCTTAAGGATATGTTTTCTTTATTCAGTGCTGTTACCGAATAAGTAGACAGAGGTGTCGTCCCACATAGTCCAATCATTTGGCAGTTTTACCTAGAAGTTTTGGAAAATCTCTGAAAATTTAATATCTTTGTAGAACTCCATGTTACTCTGGGAAAATGAAACCACGTCTGTTGAAAATTACCGGTATTATTTATGATAAGTAAAAAGTAATTTCTAACATATGTGGCTTCATTTGGCAGGAGAAACATGGGGTTCCATCAGGATGAAAATCACACGACAAGTTTCTCCATTCCTCCTATTTCTTCAACAGCCAAACTGCCAAGCAGCCGCGTAGACAGAAATACTGGAGGACCACGGCTGCAATAATGAGCTTAGAGAGACCTTGCTAGTCCAACTTCTGTACAGCCTAAGGTTATCAGAACTAGTGAATGCCTTATCAGGTAGATTGTTTTACAACCCAGGACAAGGGGCATCTGTGAATGTACGAAGCTCGACACGGTTAGGATGGGAGGTCAACGTTTGGCGTATCTGTCTGCCAGGCTCTTCGCGAGGCGGCATCATGGAGGAGGGCTCTGAGGAGCACACCCGTTGATATAGCAGTAGAAGAGATCCAGATCGCCATCGGCCTGCAGTGCGATTGCCTCGAGACTATCCGGTAGAGAAGAGTCGAACATAGATAATGTAGTCGGAGAGGTAGCATCCCAAACAAGTGAACAGTACTTGAGGCTAGACCTTATCAGGGCCTTGTATGGCGTGAGGGGTTATGTGTAGAAAACTATTTCTCGAAATGCCATTTTTTCTGCGAGATGCATAGTTTCTGCATTCGAGCGCGACAAATTTACTCTAATACGAACCCTACGGAAATCGTCGGGTTTTTAATGATTTGGTAGTTTCACCAAACGTTTTCGGGGTGCTTAAAAAATTGCTCTTTTCGTATATTCTGATGTGCTCTTTTACCTTGCTATTTCGTATCTTTGCCACTTGCAGCGTCATATTGAAAAACTGGCGACCATTTTCTCACAATTCTTTTTTTTCAGTATTTTTAAGAAATATTGCTTTAATTTTTGTAAATGGTGAACATAATAAAGTAACCAAATTTACCAAGCATGTTAATCGTATGTCAATCTACTAACGAGATCGGAAGTTAATAGTATTACCTAAAAACAACGTTTTATGTTAGCAACAGTTTCACGCGTACAGAATCGGTCACAGGTCTAGTCGGGCGATGGTATGCCGCGCTGTTGCCAGTATGACGCTGAGGGTGGAGATTTCGGTACTTGCAATGACAGTTGATTGCAAAATCGAACATTAGTTCGCGGATACGATCATGCCTCTAATTGATGGATTTTGACATATTTATGATGTGTCTAGATTTGGTTCGATAGTGCGAGTAACATTGGGTTATCAAAAATTTCATGGAATCAAAATGGCGGATCTTAAATCTCGGCTTTGAAATTTTTAATTCACGGACTTCCGGCCAAACTGCTTGATAAATTTCAACATTTGAGATGTCCTTAGATTCAACTTGATAGTTTAGTTGCTGCAGTCGTGCATTTTGTATTTATTAAAAATGTACTTGTTTTGGTTATATCAACTAAGATACCCTAGTGGTATTTGTTCTTAATTTGATGTAAATTATTAATGTAAGAAGAATAATCAAGATATTATTAAACTCTGATACTGATCCTGTGGTTTTGAAATCGAGAATCCCCTACATTTATCTGGCCAATGAAATTTATTTAATGCTACGATTCGCTCACAACGGTAGCATATACGACACTTTTTTGACAATATTTTATTTATATGCCTTCCAGGTGGCACTTCGTTTGTTTTTACGTTTCATTTTCAGATTCCCATATAGCGTGTTACTCTAATAGTCTGAAATGTCCTTTACATGCCGAGATTGCACAAAGTAATCATTCCTAATTTTAAGATGCCACCACGCAAAACCAGCATAGCCCAGAACTGCCTGAGCTGGGCATTCTGGCTACCCAAAGGACGTCTATCCCCCAAAACTACAAGCGAGCATTTTTCAATGGACCAAATACGTCTCTCCCTTCCATCATTCCGAAAACTCCAAAAGCTCTCAAAAAAAAAACGTGACAACCCACTCAGAACTGTTGTCGTGACCCAACAGTAGATTGCTATGCAATTGTTTACGTATCTAAAACATTATTTTACGAGATCCGTGTAAAAACGAAAAATACGAGCCTTCCCCCTCCCCCACCGCCGACACAAATACCACATTGGAGGACTTTGGGACTCATGGGATAGTTCAATGAATATCCAAAACGACATTAATCAGTTTTTTCGATTTCCTTAATTTTATGATACAAATTTTTCTTGTAACATTCGAGGAAGTCCAGTATTTCATGAAAAAATAAAAAAATCTGATCGATACCGAATCAAGCTCGTAGTTGCATTGAGACCCGTCGATCCACTAAACGTTCTCTGCAACTGTGCAAAAATCTCGAGGCGTATTGTCACACATGCACCGCACCCAGCAGCGCCGTTTTGGGATGACCTTGCCAATTTTTTTTTATCTGCTCAAATCGGGGTAAATCGGTAGAGGTATAAAATGGCGGGGCCCTCGTCAATGGAAGCAAAACGCAGTGCGCGCTCTCAGTAAGAGCCACAAGATCAGTGCACGAAGATTGCAGGTACCACAAAATGCTGAATAAGGTAGGATTTTCAGAATCGAAAAGGTTACTAAAGGGCCACAAATGTTTATACATCAATGGAAATAGACAAAAAAAATTGAAAAAAATATGTGATCAATATAATTATTTTATACATTTGTTACGCCTCAGATAATTCATTAAGAACTTGCTCTATTGTAAGTTTGAAGACTCAGATCAGAATTGTCTGAAAGAAAACGTTTTTGCTACGGTAAGTCAACAAAATGGCTTCAGAAATTATACCCTATTCCAGCTTCGATTGTTTGTAATATCTACTCAGTGTTTATCTGTTATCTCAACGTGACATGTAATTGACCTGGCATCTTGAATTTTGCATTTTTAAATACCCAGTAAAAAAGAACATAACATTCAGACTAAAAAAAAACACACTCATTTCCTCATTCCAATTCCAGACAGCTTTCTGACATTTTAGTTTCAACAAATGTAATATCATTTTGATCACATAAAATTGGCTTTTTTGATATTATATAATATTTTGTCTGATTCCAATTGGCGTTGTCTGTAGATTACATCATAAAGTAATGTTTAGATGGCAATTTAAAATTCCGAAAGCCATCACAATATTTTAGTTTCTCAGTTATGGCTAGCATTTACTTTCGAGGCACACTTGAACCAGTTTTTATCAAATGAATAACATCTACAAGATGACGGGAACTTAGCAACAATTTTCTCGTAACTTGTTCAAAAAAGATGTTCCTAACAAAAGAAAGCGTTCATCTACTTTATAAATTTTACAGGAGTACTCCACCTAGATACTTATCAGCACGAATATCTATTATTTCAAATCAAGAGTACATATCACTAGCACAGATGCGAAAGAACAATGACCCGTAAATGTACTACAATTATACAACCATCTAGAAAACCTGCCAGAGTAATATAATATTTGGAGCACCTGTAATACTTATATAAATGTTATTAATTTCTTTTATCTATGCAGTAAATTGTAAATATATCTTCTATGACGGAATATGTCAAAATAACAATAGCCAATTGTCCCATCAAATGACATAACAATTTACACTGAAATCTAGTAGCTTCTAAATTAGAATAATCTTTGAAAGAAGGTGTTATGTATAATAATTTGTACAGTTACAAGTAGATGAAATAACTAGAATTTTCTACGAAAAAAAAAGATGTATTTTTTCAAATACTTCTTATTGCTAGAAGACGTTTCAATTCAGGCAAATAATTTTCCATTAAGCTCTTTAGAAATTATTCTTTATTGATGATGTCATCAAAAAGTGTGCAATTAAATATCCCACATGCTTTAAAAGCATTCGATAATATTTCCTAATAGTGAAAAAGGGTTATTAACCTTCAAAAGCTTTCCAGGATAATTAAGTACCAGCAATTAGAATGGAAACCAATTTCTTGCCAATGTGAGATTTTTGTCGAGCTTTTTTGAATATCTGTTCTTATTCAGTTTCTAGCAGCCTCAGTACGGTTGCTGGTGGATTTTAATAGAAGTATATAGAAATTGTTGAATATTTGAAGAAGGACCTACCATATTGGCTGCATAATCTTTGCGGTTGAACCTTATATAAGGCTAATCACAGTTCTTAGTGAAAAATTTATTAAACTACCCTATATAATATATAGTTCTTAATCCTACGATAATATTGATCTGATAACCTTGAAAACAATTATCTATTAGTTGCAGATATTGTGATTAAATAAATGCCGACACCGCTAGGCTTTCTCCATATGCATAAATTTAATGCAAATACCCGCCAGATCTGAATGAAACGAAAAAGTGCCTAATAATAAACAAATCACCTCATTAATTAACCATGTAGTAACCAGCAACTGATTTAGCGCGACAAGGTTAAGTTTATATGTTCAAAGTCTAATTAGCATGCGACATAAATAGCGGAGAAATGTGTTAATGTAATTAACTTATTGTGATAACCATGTTATTAATACACGGTAAATAACGTAGTTATAAAGTAGTATGTATTTGTGATAGGTTTTTATAACGAAACATTAACCACAGGGTATATTTTCAGTAGTTTATTAGTTACAATTCTATATCAAACAGTTTAACCAAGCAATTTTTGCAACTTTTGAAGATAGCGCCTCCCAGACATGAAGTTTTGAAGTCGAATAGATATTATACAGCCTAAATCCCATGACAATCTTAGTACCCTTATAAATATTTAAAAAAAAACTGTTAACAATGGTGAACAGCGATTGTTGTTAGCTGTTAGCTATATTGTAAGTGGCTTAAGAATACTTAATCGGTAATCAGGTACTTAAAAGAATCTTCCTCCGTGGTTTTACTTGATATCCATCTTAATGCATCAATCAATACACTTTTATAGTTTGAACAGGTAATTCTCTTCTTTACTATGAGTTCATGATAACTTTTATTGTATCTCGCTCCTTACAGGTTTCGGTAAATCCATTTATATAAAATATTTTTCAAGATTTATTTTTAAATGGCGAAATTGTGAACTTATTAGGAGTCGCATAATTTCATTTTTAAAACCGGTATTTTCTGTGCTGACTCTGGAAATATCTCCGCTTTGCGGTATTTGCGGTATTTCCGGGACTTGCAGTGCTTAAGTATTATATATGTTAGTATAGTAGGAAGTTAGAGTATTAAGTGTAGCAGCAAATGGGATTATTATCTTCGTTTCTACGTTAACCAGTTTTTAACCAACGCAAATGTTTTTTTTAAGTAACTATGTTTCATATACGAATATTAAATGAATCTATAAAAACTTTTGAGGTCAAAATCAAACTAATAAGCGAAGACAACATGTATTTAAACAACATTATAAAATATTTTTCCAATAACCATGGTGGTGCCTGAAACTAATGTTAAACAAAACAATCACAATCAAAACTTAAACTGAACTTTTAATATTTACCGCGGAGGTATTCACTCAGTGACCGTGGCAGGACTAAAATATGAATTACGCGTTATTTTTTATTTCCTTCAAACTTTTATCGAACTTTATATTAATTTGGACATTTTTACACAAAGAAATATTACTACAACGATGTAAAATTTTATTTTTGCTAAATATTGAAAATATCAAATATTCTGGTTTTATGATTTCAATACCAATATCTTTGAGACTGTTATTTGGTCTAGTATACGTGTATTTTCGAAATTCGAGACCCCGATTTGCGTATTTACAACCTCGAAGGACAAGACAGAGACATGATATCGATCGACATCGATTCAATTTTGTGGAGCTCTTCCAGTCATTTCATAATGTAGAGCCAAACGTAAATGAATAACTAATAGTGAATTTGAAATGATATTCAGAGCAGCAAAAGTAATTCCCTCCAATTAATTTCCCTTTATATAAAAATAATGTTACCCCACAAGTCAGTCTATCTATCGGTTGAATTTGTAAGTTCACGTATCCTCAGAAATGACGACACCGATTTTAATGTAATGAGAATATGATTTGGATATTGATTGTAAAAAAATCAAAAATTTGTTTTCTACCTTCTCAAGTTTCTGATTACTTCAGGGCGTAGTCAAACCATTTTCAATTTCATCCAAGCTCATTTTTTGACTTACACGAATCAATATGCACTGGTCTTCAATTTGTATTAATGATAAACTTGATATTTTGCCACAGAATCAACTTACCTGTGGCACTTCTTGTCTAACTGAAGTTTCCTTTTCAGTTACTAGCCCTTTGCGCCTTGATGGTATCATCGGCGCAAGCAGGGTACCTTGGAGCAGCGCCAGCAGCTGCATACTCTAGCTACACTTTAGGACACTCCCCAGCTTACGCCGCCCCTACTTACGCCGCCCCCGCTTATGCTGCCCCCGTAGCACATGCGGCGTTACCAGCATTCCCAGCAATTCATGCCGCCCCAGTGGCCCCCGTCGCTCCTGTTGCTGTTAAGGCTGCCCATGCTGTCGACTATGTTGTAAGTCCTATAATATTATTTTGACTATTCAATCCACCATAGTCAAAATTAGTAGTTTAAACCTCGGTGACTCCAACGTGCGATCAAGTGCGAAACCTTGATTGAGAATCTATCGCAGAGAGTGGCAGTGTTGGAGGAGTTTCCTCCAAATATAGAAGATTTTTACGTTCGGTGGGGAATTCTTAGGGGATAAAATATTCTGAGAGAATTTTTCGGGAAAATAAACTTGTTGGGTGTCTTTAACTACAAAAGAACTGTCAACATTCAAATAACAATTTCATCTTTCTGTGGTTTTTTCTTCCATGTCGCACGAATCTTCACAAAACCTATGACCTGACCCATCTATACACTTTTATGTCAATTATAGGTAAATATAGTCACAGAACACGGAGAAACAGAATAATTGTGTAAGATTGTGAACTGGCCGGTTGATTTTGCTTTGTCCCACACGCCTGTTTTAGTAGATATAACTATACTTATAGATGATAACTCGTTTTCTCTACTAGTTTGCACGGATCCCAATTCAGAGTTGGCGAAGTCACAGCGAATGCGAATACATTCATGGGCAATCGTCGCTCAAGAAACAAATTGTTCCAACAAGTTCGAAAGTTAGTTTCAATTCGTTGGAAAATATATTATACTTTTATATATTATAAGAATATTGTTGGTTAGTACAATGTATGACTGGGGCCAGAAAATCAAATATATGGACAAAACACACATATAGACAATATTTCAATTTGAGGTGACTAGGAACCAGATGTGTAGTATATGGCGAATTACTACATACAAACAATACCATTCTCATTCAATTCAATGAATACCTTGATACTAACTGTTGGTATGAGCGAAGTGTGGGTTGTGCATCGATCGCAGCACACGCAATGTACAAAAAGGGAAACATCATCGGACAGATACTGGAATATAGGCGTGGTCTCTACGGTGAACTTTATATTATGCGCGATAAAGTGACGCTTCGCAAAGATGCAAATTATCGGCTTGGAATACAGATTGTTTCTAATCTGAAATCGAGTAAATCTCTCTTTCATTCTTGACCGCAATTCCTTGAAGTAGTATTTCTTTCCCTAAGTAAATAATGAAAAAAAACACACATAGGTAAATAAAAATATCATTTGGAATTGTAACATGTCCATTTCATTGTGTCAGTTTGATATCTGAGTTTTATATTACGAAAAAATATTCAGAACGATTGAGAAATAAGTAATTTTGAGTATCTAGTTCTTGTTTTTGAATGCACCAATGATCCTCATGCTGCTTAAAAATGGATTTTAATGTTAACAAACAGAAAACATTTGTACCTTACTCCCCTTGGATTGACCTGTCCAAAGCAAATCGGTTGACTGTTACATTCATTGAGTTTGTCAGTAATTAGATATTCAAACTATTTGTAAAATGAGTTGCAAACGTTATGATTGTGATGTAAAATCGAATATTTTGTGATACCTCGTTTAAGAAGGCCACATCTCAAAGTACTGAACATATATCTAAGTCAGGTTCCAGCGTTCTATTAATATGTTTGATTCTATTATCGGTGCATTCTTAAAAATTTGCACCTAAATTCCCTAAATAGAGGAGCACATGGTCCAGAGGCATAGACGAAAGGGAGGAATCTCATCTCAATTTAACAAATAGAACGCACGGACAAGTGAGGCGACTTCAAGTGAGATGAGATTATGTAAAAAAGTGGACAAAAGGAAAGCTATTGCGGTTACACATGAGGACGGCAAAATGTTTAATCTGTAAAAATAATTGCCAACACATTTTATCAGGCCAAATAACAAAGTGACACATAAAATGATCATTTCCCTGGAAACTATACAAAAAGATACAAAATTCCTTGACTAAAGACCGCTTCGCTATCGCTTCACTTCAGAGCCGCTGTGCACTGTGTAATATTACATAACGTGAAAAAGCCTATTAACGTCTTTGGCAAATATTCAGGGGCCCACGGCTATCCTTAAGCTCAGCGGCGTACTACAGGATCAGAACTGTAATTTTGTTACTACGATTACACTGATCAACAGCCAAAAAATATCCTAAATAAAATCAACAAAATATTACTATTTTTAATGTGCTAAAACCGGAATGAAACTTATTTTTTCAATATTAGTTCAAGTTTTAGAGATACGGTAATTAACATTGGTAAATATACTGAGTGACAGAAAAAGGTAAACACCTACGTACGTTTATCCGATTTTAACCCTGTATGGTATCATGTATATTTAAATATACAAATATCAAACAATTTGTCCTTTGCGTCTTATGACCCGCAAGTCGAAGCTACACAGTGTATATCTGAATATACACGTGTGATCGATCGTTTTCGGTAGGTAGATTTCGTTGGTAAATCACCCACTTCGGGCAGTTATTTCAGTCTGTACGGAAAGTGTCGTGCTGTTTGGACGCCGCCGGTAAACACGTGATATCAAATAACATTATTAGTGTGTTTTGTTGGCAGAATTGAGCGTACATTTTTTTTGAATCCTTATTGAGGTATGTTTACTACAAAGGCATGTTAGAAATAATATATATTTTATATTATTGTACTTTTCAGGCCACTGACGCCACTGTATATTTGAATGTACATTGTTCAATTCTGGTTTCGACTTTACAGAAATTATGGATCCAAAAATATTTTATGGAAAAAAGGAACATGTTACAGTATTAGTACCGGACTTGGATAGTGAGGAGGATTTCGATAGTGATGATAGCTTATTAGACGAAACATATAAACCCACTTTGCTAGATTATGATGGTAGGTAAAATACTATGGAAATAATAAGTTGTGTTGCTATTTTTTTTTTTTAGAAGAGGATTTATTGGAGAGCAGTAGTGGAGAGGAAAGTAATGCTGACAACCAAGGAAACAACAATGAGGAAAGGAATAATCTAGGTAGCTGGAATGAAGATGACGAGATCCCTCTCAGACAACTTCGAGATAAGATTCTCCGAGTGTGTCTGCTGTTTCTGTTCAAGGTGGGGTCAAAAACATGAAAATCAAGAAGGCTCCCTTGAAATGGCAAAGCTCTAATAAGGAGCCCAGTGATTTGCCAACTTGGAAAGCTCAACTACCCTCTCAGACATCTGTAGAGACACCATTGCATTATTTTTACAAATTAGTCGATAAGGAGTTGTTGGAATACATAGTAGAACAAACGAACCTATATGCGGCACAGAAGGACATAGATCTAAATTTCTGCATGGATTCCAAAGAGCTAGAGCAATTTATTGGCGTTTGTTTCTATATGTCACTGATTACAGTGCCTGGGACCAGAAGATACTGGAGCAGTGCCTGCAGAGTGTCTCAAGTGGCAGACGTAATGCCTCTTCGGAGGTGGGAACAAATAAAAAAGTTTCTGCATTTTGCAGATAATTTTACATTGCCAGTTGAACCACCAGATCGTCTTTTCAAAATCAGGAAGCTCGTGGAGAGTATAAGGAAAAATTTGAGACTAATTCCCATGGAACAGCACCTTTCTGTCGATGAGCAGATAATACCGTTCAAAGGCCGTAGCTCCCTGAAACAGTACAATCCGAAAAAACCAAAAAAATGGGGTTACAAAATATTTTGTTTGGCAGGTGCTAGTGGTATTGTATACGACTTTGAATTTTACTGTGGGGCCACGAATCAACCGGAAAATCTACCGGATATAAGTGCTAGTAGCAATATAGTGATTCGACTGGCTGAAAACATTCCAAAACACCAGAATTTTCTGCTGTTCTTTGATAACTGGTTTTGTAGCCCCGAGCTTCAAATCGAATTAGCTCGGAATGGTATTTACAGTGTGGGAACTATACGGGAGAATCGAGTGCCATCCAGTGGTTTGCCAACCGACAAATCACTGAAAAAACAGGGCAGGGGGAGCTTCGAGGAAAGAATTACAAGCTGTGGAAGCACTAAACTAAAGATAGTGAAATGGCAGGACAATAAAGTGGTGACTTTGCTAAGTACATTCATAGGCGGCTATCCTGTGACTACTATAAAAAGATTTGACCGCAAAAACCGACAAGATGTAAACATCCAATGTCCCAGTATTATACTCATATACAATAAATTCATGGGGGGTGTCGATTTGATAGACTCTCTTCTGGCATTGTACAGAACGAAAATAAGATCAAGAAAATATTACTTGCGTATTTTCTTTCATTTGATGGATATGTGTGTAGTTATCTCTTGGCTTTTATATAGGCGCGCTTCCGACGACTGTGGCGTATCTAAAAAACACCAAATGTCGCTTTATGATTTCAAAAGTGATTTAGCACAAAGTTTATGTTGGGTGGGAAAACAAAACAAAAGAGGTCGCCCTTCATCAAGTTCTCAGTTACCACCCGTAAAGAAACAAAAGATATCTAGTGTTCGACCAAATATAGATTGTAGAACAGATGGAATGTCTCACTGGCCCACATATGAACAAAAAACTGGAAGATGTAAGAATGGACGTTGCCAAAAGATTACCAAAGTAATGTGTACCAAATGCAAGTGTTATTTATGTTTTGTGCCGGATAGAAACTGCTTTACTCATTTTCATACATGAAATTATTTTGAAAATGTATTTGTTACTTCATTTGTGGTTATTCAAGCTTTTGTAGCTCTTTTAGTTTCAGTTTTTTATTGACGGAATGGTGTAATGTATATTTCAATATACATATGTTTAGTTCAAAAATAGTTTGTTTTGAAGATAAAATATCCAAATAAAGTTTATTCTTATGCTCATAAACAAATCATATTTCGACCAAAACAATTTTTTAACCAGTCCAACTAGGTGTGTACAATAGAGGGTTAATAATATTTGGCATATATGTTCAGTGTGCCTCACTAGTAAAGTGATTGAATTTTCAGCTTCATTCGTCGACTGACTGCAGGAGGTGGTTCAATGTGTTGAGGATCCACGATTTCTTCTACACTCATGGGCACGCTTCGGCATCGTGCTGATAAGGTGGTCAATATCCTGTTAAAGAATCTCATTCCAGGCTACTGTAACTTCGTGAGTAAGAGCTACCAAAGTCTGTGGATGGTGTTGTAAATTCAAGAGCCTGCGACCTATCATGTCCCATACATGTCCAATTGGAGACAGATCAGGCGATCGGGGTGGTCAAAGTAAACGTTTGAAGCGATGTTGATACATGAAGGCTAACGATGCTCTGGCAACATGCGGTCTGACATTGTCTTGCTGAAAAATCAGAAGACTTAACCGGCGATCTTGTCGCTTTGTGGTCCCTGTTGGACGTACAGAGCCCTTCGCTCGCTGTCCTTGGCCTTTCTGGTTCGCCGCTTGTTCACACTGCAGTATACTTCGTAAGGATCTGTTGGTCCTCCTAGAAAGTTTTTTTCAATACACCCCAATTCAACCCCTCTCAAAGTGAGCAATCACAAAAAGGCTTCTCAGTAAGCTACTCGAAATTTAACACACAGCCACCACAAAAACTTAACAGAAAAACCTGAACATTTTATCACTTGTTGTTCATGGCAAGATAAATCGATATGTAAAAAATTCTAGCATTCTAATAAACATACGTAGATGTTTACGTGTTTATCTTTTTTGTCACTCATTATACTAAAAAGACAATGTATATACAAAAGTGGGGTCTCCATAAAATGATGTAGACGATTATACCATCGAGCTCAAAATACCCTATTTTCCAATTTCCTAGTATATAAAGTTATTGGTAAACGTCTGAAATGTCACGTTGGTACTCCAATCTATACATGCTATCCAAATTTTTTGATAAACTAGAGAGATGTTCTGAAATTTTATTTTATGTAGTTCTGAAGCACCACCAATAGGAATGAAACTACTACCAGAAAAAGTTTTCCCAGTTCTGCTAACTGCTATTCCAAAGTTCGTGAAGAAAGATATCACTTTACAACAGTCACCGTACTATAATACTTAAGTTTTCCCTTTCAGATTGCTCTAATATGAAAAACATTCCTTCAAGTAACTTATATCAGCAGACTATCTTAAGAGCAATATTAACATTTTAAGGAAAAGGAGGACTTGAGCGCTAATTCTAACGTTTCCATGAAGGCTATATTCCGGACCTTCTATACCGTATACCAAGAGGCCAGTTCTTTAAAGAGGTACCTAATTAAATAGAGCTACGAGTCGAGATTTTTTTCTGCAGTTTTTGACGTTTTACAGATATTTATTTGAAATTACCCATTTTCGGAAAGATAGTGAGAGTTTTTCAGACCATTAAATATTTGATCACCAGATTAACTTCGTGTTTAGGGATGAGACCTATGAACAATGGCGAAGCTTCTATATCATTTTTTCTGATATTTATCAAGAAAATGACCTGTAGGGTGATATTTCTAACGAGAACATGTACAGAACCACACTAATTTTCTACTTATTATCATAGTCTCTCGTTTTCAAGAATTGGGTTCAAGGTCTGTATTATCGTTTTTAAGTCTCCTTGCGATCAACACAGGCACGCTACTGGTAACCACAGAATGACTACCGTTCGGCCGTACTTTAAAAACTAGAGCAGCACCTTAAATGGCTGTTCTCGACATACTAAAACTAGGTTAAAATTCTTCAAGTGGACGGTGTCAAGCAAAACAGCAATCGAGAAATTTCTGGAATTATTGAAATGAGACTGACATTGTCGTATTTTACACGTATTTATCTACTAACGGGCGAAATAGTGAAGGTACTTTAAGCTTGATGAACACCATCGCAGGGAATTCGAAACTAATTAGTTTGTCTGTTGCTACAACGTAATGATGAGATGATGTCTACAATATTGAGGATGCATAATTAGTTGTTAGTAGTAGATCGCATAGTTTCAATGAAAAACTAATTTAACTTTTTAAACTCGTGGTTGGCCACCCTAAGAACCTTCTGAGCATCTTCCTACAGTTCAGCTCTCAGGCTTCTTCATATTTCACGGCGGTAAAGTCACTTTAGCACCCGCTATTTTCAAATTCACCTATGGTCATCAATCCCGAGAGCTGTTCGTATTTATCTGGTGTCAAATTAGAACTGGCGAGCGGTAAAGTTCTTTTCCTGCCTAGGGTTGTGAAGTAGGCTGAACTTCCGAAAAGTCCTATCCATAAGCGAACCTTGCCGTCTTATCACAGATACTAAGCATTTATACCCGTTAACGTGTAAAGCCCGCCCAGCTGATGACGAGCCCTACTTTTTTCCCCCGCGTCTCGTCACACGCCAGTAGCCTGCTGGATCTCTTTCTGACCACGCATCGTGCCCCTTACAGCACTGCTATCCTGTCCCACCTGGGTAACTCAGATCACGGTGTTGTGGAGGTTAGGTTTCGGTCAGAAGCCCCTGTGGCAGCAGAAACTCGCACAGGCCGCAAAACTTGGCATTACGGACATGCCGACTGGGAGGGGCTCACAGACTTCTTCTCTAGCTTTCCTTGGAGAGATGTCTGTTTCACTGACGCGGATGCGTCGACTGTCTGTTCTTCAATAACCGAAATTATCCACGTCGGAATGGAGGAATACATCCCTCACACAGTGAAAGTTCCTAAACCAGGGTCCAACGGCAATCGTGTGACACGGCTCGCCAGCAGAAGATCAAGGCCCACAGAACCTACTTACAAAACCCCACTGTAGAGAACAGACAAGCCGACGTCGAGTCCAGAAACAAATATAACAAAGCGGTTCGCAATGCCAAAAACCAGCATGATATAAAAGTTAGGCACAGGGTAATGTCGCAGCGCAATGGCAGTCGGTCTTTCTGGTCGCTGGCCAAGTAGATTGAAAAGAACTTCTCACACAGTAGCCTTCCACCACTTACGTGTCAGGATGGAACTATTGTATTCGACTCAAAGGCCAAGGCGAAAGTGCTAGCCAAGATCTTTGCTGCCAACTCCACCATGGACGTCCCCACCAACGCCCAAGTGCCGTCAATTTAAAGGGTTCCCCACACTATGCGGGAGGTAACATTCAGGCATAAGACCGTAAGACGAGTGCTCTTGTCGCTCGACATGAACAAAGCTTCTGGTCCGGACTTGATTCCTGCCATTGTACTGAAGAGATGTGCAGCTGAGCTTGCTCCAGTTCTTTCGCGTCTCTTCCAGATATCTTATGAATCCGGCACCTTCCCAGAAAACTGGAAATTTGCTCATGTACAGCCCATCCCAAAAAAAGGATCTAAAACCGACCCTTACAACTACAGGCCTATAGCTCTGCTTTCTGTTATAAGTAAAGTGATGGAGAGGTGCATAAATCGCGAGCTTCTGTACTACCTCGAACGTCACAGCTTGATTAGCAACAGGCAGTACGGTTTCCGTCACCAACGATCCACAGGGGACCTCCTAGCTTACGTCACGCAACTGTGGAGTAAACTCATCCATTCTCATGGTGAGGCTCATGTCGTTGCTCTTGACATCACGAAAGCGTTCGATCAGCTGTGGCACGCTGCCCTCTTAAGCAAACTTCCATCCTACGGCCTCCCAGAAAAGCTTTGCAGATGGGTGGCTGACTTTATCTCTGGCCGCAAGATATCCGTCGTGATTGACGGATTCTCCTCTTCATCCCACAACGTCAACGCGGGTGTTCCCCAGGGATCGGTCTTGGCTCCGACACTGTTTCTCTTACATATCAACGACCTCCTTTCCTGCACGATCAACCCAATCCACAGCTTCGCTGATGACAGCACTCTACATGCAGGAAAAAAAAAGATTATTCGCACCTTGGGCTTAGATTCCAAGCTGCGGTACATAAAAACCCACTTTTTGTCCTAATAAACGAACAACTAATATAGGTTAGGCGCAGCAGAGCTTTGTACCAATTACTATGCGTATTGCTCTAGTGCGGTCCTTTGTCTAGAATACTGAAGCTACATAATTCCACTAACATCCAGCAAATAAACTAACTTATATTGACAAGCTTTTGGTTATTATCTACCAGCTTGAGAGTTTTCTGGCCGTTTTCTTCCTGTTCAGCTCACAGGATTCTGCAAACTCCAGGGCGATAAAGTGAAATTAGCACCCACTATCTTCATTTAACCTATGTTTATCAATCACGAGGACTGTTCGTACTTATTTGTTGTCAAATCAAAAACAGCAGTCGCTAAAGTTCCTTTGCTGTCTTGTGCTGAAAAGTAACCTCAACTCGCGCAAAAACCTATCCATGAGGCGTACTTTGTCGTCCTGTCGTAGATAGTAAGCGTTTATGTCCATTGTGATGTTAAAGTCCGCGGTTCTTCACTCCTTGTGATCTAATTTCAAGTCGCGAGCTATAAGTATTGTCTTTATACCCTGATAAATAAACAACTATTACAGATTAAATGCAAAAGCGAGTGTTTTAGTAGCCTAAATCGATATAGCTTTGTTCTAATGACTATGTATATTGGTGTTAAGCAGTCCATTGTGTAGAAGATTTTACCTTACCTCGCAACACCATCCGCTGGTAAAAATAACGGACCGTAACCTGACAAAACAAGATTGTAACAATCAAATACACAACCGAGCATAAATTGTGCAAGAGACGATCCGTGAAGTCGCAGTCGATGATCCGGTGCAAACTTGGAAGTGAAAGAAGACACCAAGCAACCGGCAGACGATTCTATTCTTTCAAAGTCAAGAGCGTCGATGCTGCAATGCAATGTCCGTGGTAGATCACGGTCAAGATGAACCGCTAGTGATCATCTGATGAGCTACGCTATTATTTGTCTTGCTGTTCATTCATGAAGAAATGCAGATGTTCATTCATTAATGTTTGGATGTCTGATCATTGATGTGAACCGTTTTCACAGTACTACAAATAATGTTGACTCGCAGGTAATGTGAGTCGTCGCAGTAATAGTGTTTGGATTTCCATGTTATGAGTTAAGTGGTTCATCAGCTCAATAGTCAGATGCCAGGATGAACATATTCGTCGACAGTCCCACTGCCTCAACTTTAATGAACGAAAGAAAAAATTAATTTACCACCCAGCATAAAATCCACCCTTAGTTCGACTTGACTGACCCTGTGCCATCACTGCCATCTCACATCACCCTGAGTGTTAAATTTCACTCGTCCGTACTAAGGTCTATAGTAACTTTTGTAAACATAGTGAAGATCATTTATCTCTTTGTGACAAGCTTGAATTAGTATATAAAAATTCTGATTTCAGTAGTGAGTTTGAATTATCGTATGGTCTTGCCATAGTGGATTTGTAAGAATAGGTATGTGTTTCAGCTCTGATGTGAATGCACACTATTTGCGCCTCAGAAACGATCAAACTCAACCTGCACGGGTATGGTATGTGTGACAAAAAATAGCGTCAAGTAGATTGACTATGCACTTTTCATGCAATTCTGATTAAGTGGACCATTCAGCATGCATATTATCAAAGTAAACTTCTGCACGCTCTGGTATCTTTAATATCTGACGGCTATAAAGATCCTTGTACCTTGACATAAGTTGAGTATTAGTGAATAACATTTTGATTTAAATGGTATATGAGTCAATTTTCGTACGTCCTAGTATCTTTATCATTCACCAGTCATGGAAATCGTCACAGACGTTATAGAATGAATGTGATCAAGCTCAAGTTTTTTTAGACGATTAGCGCTGAATATACATAGAGCATAATATCTGTACAGCTTTTTACTATTACTAAACCAGATTTAAAAGCTCACAAATATTTTTCGTTCTAGAAATAGTGTAAAAACTTCCGAGTAGAACTTTCCAAGTTACAGACGGGCCATGGATGAGCGGACATACAGACAAATAGACAGATGGAAACAAGCGATATGTCTTTTTGTGATGTACTTATAATATCTCATTTTGTAATACTTCCTCGCCAGTAGGAGTAAAAGGAATTTGTGGAAACAGTGTCGTTATATATTCAGAGATGCTGGATCTTTTAGTCCATGTTCCTTTGCGCATCCAGCTATTACTTCTGACAAGATCTCGTAGAGCTACCTTGTGTTGCTCAATATGACCGGTGGCTGATCTCCTAGCATGGAGCATGCAGACTAACAACCCAATTTTCTACCCTTTAGATTTTTTAAAAAACTGAGACAACAAAAACCGTGATTTGTAGTTTTGCTTTTCCCGTCTTTTGTACGTTGCTCCGCCACCATTGAGACGATTTTGAAAAACTATAAAGCTTTTTCCTTGATATAGTAGTAACTTTGTGTCAATATTTTATTAAAGCCCGAGCTACACTTTCCAAGTTGTAGACGCGCTAACTATTAATGGACAGACAGAACAATAACAGACCGATAAAAATGAGTTACACAAATGTTCACGATGTAACAATTAGAATTTTAAAAACATATCTCGCTTTTGAGTATCGCTGGCAATTCAGTGTACTCGATGAATTCTCTGCTTGGTGTCAACGAAATCGGTTAATATTAAATTATAATAAAACTGTTGTTAAAAAATTTAAGATCTAACGTACAATTGACTTAATGAATACGTACGCTCTTATTTGATCGGATTCTTGTAACTTACTTGTACATATATTAATTCCAAACTAAATTTTCATGAACATATTTAAAAATTTAAGCAATTAAGCAATATTTTGCCATTCTATAACTGAAAGATGTCCTAAATGAAAAAGTTCTTATGAATGTATGTTGTATATGTACTTATTGACTCCTGCAGAGAAATTTTCAAATTACGATCGACAAATGCTTACTTTACATTCTATTTACATCTTGAAATGTGCAACTCACGTTAAGTAATATGATAGTCTGTTCCCAAGTACTAATGCTCATCATAATTACAAAATTAAAAACCAAAATTTAAAAATAATCCATACGCACACCACAACACATTTCAAAAAATCACCCTACTATGACTGCATCAAATTATACAATAAATACAGCAAATCAGTAACCATTTTTCATTTAAAAATCAAGCTAAAAGATGATTAACATCAAATGCTTTTTATAACATGACTGAGTATATGGAACTTGAAACCTGTAGTACATAAAGATGGAATTGAACATTTATAAGTATTGTTAAATTTATATTGATTTTTATTTATATTGTTATACATTTTATTTATGTTGTATAGCTTACTCCAAACTATATGTACTATTGAGTATCTAAGTGGTAAATGAAGAGTATAGGATAAGTAATGACGACGCTAATTGACATGGGAAGAAGAAAATATAAATATGTACTTATATGAAAGGTAAAGAATTTAACGAGGTTTTTCATTGAAAATTGCTTTAGTTGAATAGCATTAACTTTTGAATCACTATCAGTGATCACTAATTTCTACTCTCGAAATATTACTCTGTTTTTCAATCACCCTGTACATCATTTTCTACTTCTAGGCATATCCCAAATACCAATTCAACTACGGCGTAGCCGACGGTCACACAGGCGACCACAAATCTCAGCAGGAAGTACGCGACGGCGACGTAGTTAAAGGTAGTTACACAGTTGCGGAGCCTGATGGAACGATACGCACGGTGCACTACACAGCCGACGACCACAGCGGTTTTAATGCGGTTGTGACGAGGAGCGGACATGCAGCTCACCCCTCAGCGCCTGTAGTTAAGGCAGTGGCGGCACCTGTAGTGCACGCAGCGCCCGTAGTTCACGCAGCGCCAGCATATGCGGCGCCAGCTTACGCTTATGGTAAGTATTATGCTAAGGCGGCTTCCTCAGTGTTGCCACGAGACTTAAAGGTTTCACGATTCACTGTAACAACCGATTGCGTATCGTGCCCACTCATCCAGTCTGTTCAAGCTCAGACACACTTTGACAGTCTCTTACTACGCAGTCATAACGTTTAACGTTTCTGTCGATGTTATTTGTGAGGTTATCCCAATTAGTACATCCACCGATGATGGAGTGCGCTCAGTAATTCGGCTTTTAAATGCTTAAAATTCCTTCCGCTGAAATTCACCAGCAGCTTGTTGAATTAGATGTGCTATTCAAATCCGCCGGAATGGTTTGCTCTCTAGCGGTGTCCTTCTACCTAAAGACAACGTTCGGCCTCATGTTGCGGCAAGAACATAGAAGCAACTGGGCAAGTTTGGTTGGGAATTATCAGATCACCATACCCCTGACCCCTGACTTAGCACTACCAGACTTCAATCTTCTTTCAAAACTTAAGGAATATTTTAGTGGAAAGCGCTTAAAAAATAAAAAAAAATTAAATAGCGAATCAAGTAACCTCGTTAAATCACACTCAACTTCAAAATTTATTGATAAATGATCAGGAACCTCTGAAATGTTAAAAACGATATTTTAGTGATATTTATTATTTTTTTCGTTCTTGGAATTATTCTCCGCCGCCACTGGAACGATTTTTAAAAACTGCAATGCTTTTTAGTCCTTTGCATAGGTTTAGCGGGCAGACAGACAGACAGGAAATGAATGACATGGCTTTTCGTACATATGATATAGCATCCAAAAAACACATCTCATTTTCCAAGTTTTTTGCGAATGCGATAGTTTCTTGTCAGTGGGCGTGGGGAGTAAAATGTGAAAGCACCAATGTCCCCTATATTTTCATTTATTATAAGGGTTCTAGGCGCATCTACATAATACTCCAAAATTATAGTATAAAATAATATTTTTTAGTCTTTGAGGACCTTGAAAAAATATTCAAGCTCCAGTTCCGTATCCTCTGGTAGATCAGTACAATGTATGGCATTCCTATACTTGTCGATTCCAAATTTTGCCCTTAAAGTTTGAGGTCTAATTTGCCTCGCTATTTCGGAATCTATCGGCCCAGCAAATCTTCTAAATTCCCCATGAACGTCCATATCGCTGTTCTTTCCCGCTACCTCCAGAGCAACACATGGACCATCTACAAAGCTGCAAAGCATTGTATGATAATCAGACACAACTCCTTTATACACTTCCAAGAATTCATCAGCATTTGCATTGCTGAGATAGAACATTTGCGCTGCTGTCACTTTGAAATGTGACTCTGTTATCTCAGATATGATGTAACCTAGTTTTCCTTCAACTATAGCATGGGGCTTGATAATGCAACATGTTGTATTGACCAGTTGGACTGTAGATGTCGGAATCTTGTTGTTGCCCATAGGAAAGAAGAAGTTTGACTCTCTTTCAACCTCGTCGGCATTGTGTGAACCATGAAAGCCACTGGTGGCAGTGCTATCTCTGCCATAAATGGCCCTCAGAGAGCTGGGGTGTGTCTTCCTAGCTTCTATAGGGTTACAAGGTCCCATCAGCTGGTTCCAATTATTCAAACAATCCTTCCCTACTAATTCCAGAGCGACGACTGGACCGCTTATGATGTGCTCCAATACAAATGGTAGTTCACTATCACCTCGAAGCTTTTGGTAAAAGTCCAAAGCTTCACGTCTGTTCAAGAGACACATCCGCATCCTATTGATATGGAATCCATGGTCTTGAATATTTGTAATAATCTCACCAAGCTTATCTATCACACAAGGTTTCAATATAGCCAAAGTCCTCTCTTCCGTTTTACTCACAATAGATTTGGTCTTGCAATCACCATAATCGGTCAGTTTGATCTGTCTGCCGTAGACTCTAATGGTGTTTCCTACATACATGTCAGCATAACATAACGTGTCCATGATCGTTCGCTTCAGATAGATCCTTTTCAAGTCTCTGTCGAAGATGTCCAATGTGTTGTCACTGGGGTAGTAGTTGACCACGAAGTTCTTGTGGTAGGCAGAGTTATAGTCGTGCCATTCTGCTAGGAAGGACAACTTGTCCTTGTAATCAAACTCGTTGGCTTTCGCAGTCATAATGTTACTTCAATGGCAATCGCTATCAACATATATGGATTATACAAGATTTGACCGGTTTACAGCGGTAGGAATAAGGCGTACAGGTACAAGAACACATCAATAAAAAATGACAAAAAGGTGTCAAGTAGACGTTGGACGTCACTGTTGAGAAAGTGAACAGAGTGGCAGAACTGTTATGAAGATATAGAGACTATAGATATGATGTTAAGCTCATGTGGTAGGAGTGAAGCCAAAATGTCGACAACAAAGTGAAACCCTACTGAGCGGGCTCTTGGCAGATGCTTGTTCTGGAAGTTGTTGTATTCAGTATACATCTTCCCGTTCAAGTGATTGTACACGCGTTAAGGAATACCTCAGTACCGATTGCGCGGTGGCGGTACAAGTCCGCCAATGGGCCACTTTAGGTTTATTTAACATCATTATCATGCAAAAAGAAGGTGATAGATAAGGACTAGTGGACCGAGGTGGTACGACCCGCTAGCTAACGCAGTAGGTTATCTCCCCCCTACCTAAAAAATTAATTATGATGGATCCCGTAAGCTCACTCCTCTCTCGTAATGTCCAGGTGAAGGGAACAACATCGAAGAAGATAAAATTTGTTTTACGAACATCTGCGGGATCAACAGCAACATTGATGCTGTTCATCACTACTTGCAATCAAATCGCCCCGCCATGCTTTTCTTGGCGGAGGCAAAAATCTCAGAGTCTGTACCGATTAACCATCTTAGCTCCCCAAATTACTCTAATCTAAGAAAGAACGGGGAGTTGTGCCTTTTGTCCGCAGCAGTATTTCCTGTTCCAGAGACGTTTATTTGGAATCAGACTGGAAGGCCTTTCTGTGGCTTCGCCTCAACTCCAAGACATCCACCAAATTCATTGACTGCCTTTATCACTCTCCCTCGAACCATAAGTGGGATGACCTACTTAAATACCTCGCAATCAAGATCGACTTCCTGAACATCAATCACTCCGCTTAAGAAGTAGTTCTCTTCGGTGATTTCAATGCTCATAATGAGCTTTGATTGGGCTCCAACAAGACCAATGCAGCACGTCATGCAGTTGAAGCGTTTGCTCTTACTCAAGTGCTGGCCAAGCTGGTTACGAGCCATACTTTTTCCCCGGCGTCTCGTCACATGCCAGTAACCTGCTGCCTTTCTTTCTGACCACACATTCTGCCCCTTACAGCACTGCTGTCCTATCTCCCTTGGGTTACTCAGACCACGATGCTGGGGAGGTTAGGTTTCGGCTAGAAGCCGCTGTGACAGCAGAAACTCGCCCAGGCCGCAAATTTGGACATTAGGGACGTGCCGACCGGGAGGGGCTCGGAGACTTCTTTTCTACCTTTCCTTGGAGAGACGTTTGTTTGCAGACGCGGATGCGTCGGCTGTCTGCTCTTCGATAACCGAAATTATCCACGTCGGGATCGAGGGATACATATCTCATAAAGTGAAAGTGCCTAAACCAGGGGCCAGCATTGATTCAACAAATCGTGTGACACTGACAGTTCGGATGAGTTGCTAAAATATTGGATAATATCAATAAACCAGGAAGTAATAAAACTACAAACCACGGGCAAATGTTAGTAAGATGCAGAGACTGTGTCAGATTATGTTGACATTTTTAATTGCACAAACGTTCTACGTCCACTAGATCTCCGAGAGCTACACCATCCGTGGCGACTAGATTGGCTTCATACGAATACGTGTATCTCTTACCTAGTAACTCTAGTCTTCGTGAGTATAGGAAAGTTCTCCTAAAGCGTGGCCGCCGCCACTATACAGATGTCACATTGACTGTTGGACTGTTTCATATACACACATTTGGAAATGTGTTTTGTAATAGTCAACATTCTTTGGACCTTCTTATTGTAGGTAGTTTTAATATAGGACTCCATTGTCTGGCCGAATCAAAATCAGATATACAGGGTGAGTTTTTGGTGCGGACTCGGTCGGTAACTCTGTTATTGAGCATGGTATCTAAAAAAGTTGAATACAAAAATGTTTGCCAACTATAAGGCTTTGCTAGCTTGAATAGATTTTTGTCCCTGCAGGGTGATTTCTAACTACATGGTGACCCAAACATACATTTGTTAAATGAAATGCCCCATATTTTCTCGCAGATTAGGATGACCCTAAACGAAGCAATTTGATATGCAATACTATGGGGCTCTCAGTCCTAACAATTCGCACCTCTACAACTGTTATAGTTAGATACTGGATTGGCATCCAAATTTTGAGATCCCATATTTTACAGTTTTCTCAAAATGTTCAAATGAGATACCCTATATATTTTCACAATCCTAGATTTCAATTTTCACAAGCTTTTTTCTGATGTGGAGATCAAGGGAATTTATTTTAAGGGGTTTAGAGTTACATAAAACACATTTTTAACTATTCTGCTTTATTACATAAGGTGGGGTAGATTTAATTTATTATGAAAATACTCAAATTCTAACGATTTGCTGTTATAAACTAAATACTATTTTCCACTTTTGAAATGTATTATATTTTACGTTCTTGACCACCTTGTATAAATCAGCAAAAGAATTGGAATAGTAAGTCAATAGAGCAAATAATATATGGGATCATGAAATATACCAACTGAAAAATTGATGAGTTTCCATTTGAAAAAAATGTGTGTTTGGGTCACTACGTAATTATGAATCATCATATCAGGATATTTGTTTTCCAAGTAAGGAGCATAATGTTGTCATTGACTTTTCGAGGTAACATGCGTAATAACGGAGTTTTCGTCCGAGCCTATACTAAAAAATCACGATGTATGTTTTGATTCGCACAGACAATTGAGTCATGTGAACACGAAAATCACACGACAAGTTACAGAAGTTAATTTTAACATTTTCTGCAGGTCATGGCTTAGGAGGATACCATGGATAACACTCACTACCATACCCTCATCTCAGGTACATCAATGTCAAAGCAGGACATCAATCGGGGAAGAGCATTACCAATCCTTCGCCTCCCTCCGTTCTTTTGCACCGTGCGACTTTTTGCTTTACATTAAAGCAAAAACTTGCAAGGTGCAAGTTGTGCTTTAAGGACCTGCTACGTGTTTCAAGTGGAATTGCTCTCGACGTACCGTTTATTTATTTTTTTGATCGTTCTACTTGAAATACCCAACGGATTCGACCACGCTATGCCAAATGATTATGTGTTTTATTATTTATTGTTAGTAGCAATGTTGTTCTCTCTTCTCTATGGGCTTTTGTCTTTATTATGTTATTTATGTAAATATTCTTAATAGTATAGCTCACTATTGTTCTCATCTTTGTATCATATCATACCCATAAATATATCATCGTATCATGAATACAATCATCGATTACGTTTTTTACTATTCCTGTCAACTCACCTATAGGTCTCTGGAGCGCTAGCATCGCAGTCATATTCAGAAGAAAACAAAACTTACATTCAATTTAGCGACAAAGGTCATATTTACACCGTGGATAGCTAACTGCATGACCATGCTCTTTGCTACGTCAGCATGGCACGGTTACAAGTGATGCAATACATGAATCTACCCTCCTCCTCTTTCCACGAGATGGCGCAGCACCAACCCATTTATATTGCTTGCTATGTAGTAGCAGTAATTGTTGTAGTGCTGGTGAGAAGGCGCAGCCTGGCAACTAGGTCACGTTTGTCATTTTTTGCCGACTCCGCCAGGTGCGACGAATATTTATTTCCATGGGCACTCTCCTTGATTGTCATACTCCTTTCTCTCATTCAAAAATTTCTAGATTACACTTGTCCCGTGTCAGCGTCAGCGCTCTCCTATTGTGAAGATATGTTTTGTTTTTAAATTGTAGAGAATTTCCGGCTGATAAACCATGATATAACTCAAAAGCAAGCATAATTTGATGCAAATAGATGTTTGTGACATAACCTCAAAATAGAGTTCTGACATTGAGAAGTATAAAACTATGACAATCAAGGAGGCCATAAAGGCGCCCTACAATTGTAGGGACGATGTAGGTACGACTGACGATACGGGCCTAAACCACAGCTTTTCTGGGGTGTTAATCGATGTATTTTTACATTCCCGGACGATGAAATAGCGATAGTTACAATTGGCATGACGTCAGAACACAATATTCTATGGGCGAAATCGAACAGCGTTTTCAACTGTCTTAGAACAAGATTATCTGTAGATTAAAGCTTTTGCGCTGTTTTAGGTATCAAAATATATAGTATATTTTTTTGCGTCGGAAGAACATATATTAACTATTTAAGACCTACCTGTGAAAATGGCGTCAAGCAGATTGATTCTGTAGGTTCTATGCCTTCGTTGGAGATTTCAAAGAAAATGGATGAGTCAAATTGCTTGAAAAGGATTAAGTAGGTCTACTTAGGTACGATGAGTCTTCGACCCCTGCGTATCAAACTTTATCATATTTCTGTTTCCATCGCAGATGTAGGGAAGTATGTGTGACTTATTATGACTGTCCACTGACACCAAATATGCAACAGCTGACAACCAATCTTTTTAGCGCATATACGGCACGATTTCTGGCCATCATTCTGTTTTGTATTTCCTCTCTGTCGTCCGGCTTTGATGTAAGTACTGTGCCCAAGTAGTCAAACGTATGTACTTTTTCAAACTTATAGATTTCTCCTTTTGCTGTGGTCATTATTAAGTGCTGTCCTTTATCAAGTGCTTTATCTGACCATTCCATGTATTTTGTATTTTCTACATTAATGTACAGTCCTTTGCTTCGTGATTTTTCTGCTAGTCTCTTTACGGTTCCTATAAGTTTGACTTCACTTCTGGTCAGAATAACCAGGTCGTCAGCAAATGCTAGGCATTGATGCTTTCTGTAATATACTAAACCAGCCCTGTTTATGTTTGCTTCTTGTATAGTTTTCTCGAGCACAATGTTAAATAGCAGCGATGACAGTCCCTTCCTTCTTTGTCTTCAAACATTTCTGTAAGTCTGGTGTTTATCTTGACCCTGTATTCTGTCTTTTCCAGCGTTACTTCAATCATATTAATCGGTTTTGGGCTTACATGTTGTTCTTGGAGTGCCTGATATAGCTTTTTCCTTTTTACTCGATCAAATGCCTGCTTGAAGTCAATGAAGAGCAGCACAGTAAGTTTTTCATATTCATAGCTCTCAGCTTGAATTTTTCGGAGCTTAAAAGTCGGGTCAGTGGTACCGCGTCCTGGTCTGAATGCGCATTGATACTCTCCAGTAATTGCTTCAGTATGTATTGCCAGCGGGTTTGTTATGTATAAGGTCAGTAGTTTGTACGTTAAATTGAGAAGCGCGATGCCTCTGTAGTTCTGGCAGTCTGATTTATCACCCTTTTTGTGAATGGGACACACTATCACTGCATTCCATTCTAACTATATTACCTCTTATTCCCATATACTCTTCAGCAGGTTATATAGCACGTATGTTAGTTGAGGTCCTCCATATTTAATCATTTCTGCTGTTATACTAGCGCTTCTAGGGCTCTTACCATTTTTCAAGATGCTTACAATGTTTTCGACTTCTGATAATGTTGGCAGATCTTCTTCAGTTAGTTCAGGTCTTAGATGGGTTTTTTTTTATGTCGAAACAGCCGCGCAGGCAGAAGTCTAAATGCCGGAACACCGCGGCTGCTATGATGATCCCAAAGAAATTTTGTTAATACGATTTTTGAACTGCCTAAGGTTAGTAGAACTGGGAAAAGCTTCCTCCCGTAGATTGTTCCACAATCTAGACACCCTCGGGACAAAGGAGCGGTCGTATCGGCCAGTTCTGGATGTACGAAGTTTGACACGGTTAGGATGGGACGCCGAAGCCCGTTGGTGTAGCGATAGAAAAGAGCTAGATCGCCGACGGCCCGCCGGTGCGAAATAGTCCCGAGACTGTCTGTTAGAGAAGAGTCATCGATCAGTCGGACCACCCTCCTCTGGACAGCATCGAGCATGGACAATGTAGTCGGGGCGGCAGCACCCCAAATGTGTGAGCAATACTCGAGGCTAGGCCTTATCTGGGCCTTGTATAGAGTGAGAAGGTCATGCGAAGAAAAGTACTTCTTAGCCCTAAACAAATAGCCTAGCTTTTTCCCAGCAGCTGCAGCTATTGAAGAGATGTGTTCGTGCCAGATCAGGTCCTCGGTGATCTGGACTCCGACCAGCCGAAATGAATGGCTCTTTGGTAGAACTCGACCGTCCATCGAAACTGTATGAGCGCTAGGACGCTTTTTGTTCGTCAAAGTACAGTACTGTGTTTTGGAAGCATTGAACTGTACAAGACTGTTGCGTGCCCAAGCAGTGATAGCCTCCAGGTCTCTTGTCAGAGAAGAAGTCGTCGCTAGTCTTCTTTTTTCCAGCTCAGCGGCAGAGATCGGCTTGTCACTCTGAATTCCTGCATGTAGAGTGCTGTCATCAGCGAAGCTGTGGATTGGGTTGATCGTGCAGGAAAGGAGGTCGTTGATATGTAAGAGAAATAGTGTTCGAGCCAAGACCGATCCCTGGGAAACACCCGCGTTGACGTTGTGGGATGAAGAGGAGAGTCCGTCAATTACGACGGATATCTTGCGGCCAGAGATAAAGTCAGCCACCCATCTGCAAAGCTTTTCTGGGAGGCCGTAGGATGGAAGTTTGCTTAAGAGAGCAGCGTGCCACAGCTGATCGAACGCTTTCGTGATGTCAAGAGCAACGACATGAGCCTCACCATGAGACTGGATGAGTATACTCCACAGTTGCGTGACGTAAGCTAGGAGGTCCCTGTGGATCGTTGGTGCCGGAAACCGTACTGCCTGTCGCTAATCAAGCTGTGACGTTCGAGGTAGTCCAGAAGCTCGCGATTTATGCACCTCTCCATCACTTTACTTATAACAGAAAGCAGAGCTATAGGCCTGTAGTTGTAAGGGTCGGTTTTAGATCCTTTTTTGGGATGGGCTGTACATGAGCAAATTTCCAGTTTTCTGGGAAGGTGCCGGATTCATAAGATATCTGGAAGAGACGCGAAAGAACTGGAGCAAGCTCCGCTGCACATCTCTTCAGTACAATGGCAGGAATCAAGTCCGGACCAGAAGCTTTGTTGATGTCGAGCGACAAGAGCACTCGTCTTACGGTCTTATGCCTGAATGTTACTTCCCGCATAGTGTGGGGAACCCTTTGAATTGACGGCACTTGGGCGTTGATGGGGACGTCCATGGTGGAATTGGCAGCAAAGATCTTGGCTAGCACTTCCGCCTTGGGCTTTGAGTCGAATACAATAGTTCCATCCTGACACGTAAGTGGTGGAAGGCTACTGTGTGAGAAGTTCTTTTCAATCTGCTTGGCCAGCGTCCAGAAAGACCGACTGCCATTTCGCTGCGACATTACCCTGTGCCTAACTTTTATATCATGCTGGTTTTTGGCATTGCGAACTGCTTCGTTATATGTGTTTCTGGACTCGACGTCGGCTTGTCTGTTCTCTACAGTGGGGTTTTGTAAGTAGGTTCTGTGGGCCTTGATCCTCTGCTCGCCAGCAGTGTCACACGATTTGTTGAACCAGCCGTTGGACCCTGGTTTAGGAACTTTCACTGTGTGAGGGATGTATTCATCCATTCCGACGTGGATAATTTCGGTTATTGAAGAACAGACAGTCGACGCATCCGCGTCAGTGAAACAGACATCTCTCCAAGGAAAGCTAGAGAAGAAGTCTCTGAGCCCCTCCCAGTCGGCATGTCCGTAATGCCAAGTTTTGCGGCCTGTGCGAGTTTCTGCTGCCACAGCGGCTTCTGACCGAAACCTAACCTCCACAACACCGTGATCTGAGTTACCCACGGGGGACAGGACAGCAGTGCTGTAAGGGGCAGGATGCGTGGTCAGAAAGAGATCCAGCAGGCTACTGGCGTGTGACGAGACGCGGGGAAAAAAAGTAGGGCTCGTCACCAGCTGGGTCAGCCCTTGAGTAAGAGCGAACGCTTCGACTGCACGACCTGCTGCATCGGTCTTATTTGAGCCCAACCAAAGCTCATTATGGGCATTGAAATCACCGAGAAGAACTACCTCTGAAGCGGGGTGACTGATGTTCAGGAAGTCGATCTGGACGGCGAGGTATTCGAGTAGGTCATCCCAGTTATGATTCGAGGGAGAGCCATAAAGGCAGCAAATAAATTTGGGTGATGTTTTGGAGTTGAGGCGAAGCCACAGAATGTCCTTCCGGTCTGATTCTAAAGAAAGATCCCTGGAGCAGGAAAGACTGCTGCGGACAAACGCCACAACTGCCCCGTTCTTTCTCAGATTGGAGTGCACCTCGTAGTTTGGGAAGTTGAGATGGTTAATCGGTGCAGTCTCTGAGATTTTTGTCTCCGCCAAGAAAAGCACGGCGGGACGATTGGATTGCAGGTAGTGATGAACAGCATCAATGTTGCTGTTGATCCCGCAGATGTTCGAAAAACAAATTTTATCTTCGATGTTGTTCCCTCGAGCCCACCCTCCACCCGGACATTCCGAGAGTGGAGTGAGTTTACGTCCGGAGTTTTTAGTGCTCGAGGGATCCATCATCATTAAATTCTTTGTTTTGGTAGATAACCTACTGCATAGCTTAGGTGTGGAAACATGCGGACACCCTGGGAAAAGCTAGCGGGTGGTACTGCCTCGGTCGACTGGTCCTTGTCTACCACCTTCTTTTTACGTGTTAGTGATGTTAAATAGACCTAAAGTGGCCCGTTGGCGGAATTGTACCGCCACCCGGCAATCGGTACTGAGGTATTCCTTAACGCGTGCACAATCACTTGGACGGGAAGAAGTTGTATACTGGATACAACAACGTCCGGAACAAGCATTTGCCACGGCCCTCGCTCAGTAGGGCCCAAACATGGAATGTTGTTGAATGTTCCTCGTTGTTGTCATAAGTCGCGTCATCTGTAGAGTTTAACAACTGCTCAAAATATTGTTTCCAGCTTGCAAGGCTCTCCCCGCATCGAATATCTTCTTACTATTTTTATCCTTGAGGTACGTACTTCTAGCTTAGTAACCCCTCTTTTAGTTCTCTACTGCTTGATATAAGTTTCTGATCTGATTGTCTTTATAATTATCTTCTATGTGCTGAAGTTTACTTCCGTGATATTCAATATATCAATTCTTTGATAATGTTATCTTCATATTCTTTTCGTTCTCCTTCGATCATATACACAGCCTTCAGAAATGGAATATAGTTCATAAAAAGCATGTAATGATGCTACGATTAATTTGTTATCAACAATAAACAGAAAACAGAAATGATGAGCTAAGCAAACCTGAAATAGGTAATAAGTTATTCAATTTTTAAAAGTCACTATAGAGTGGAAGGTGAGTGATGGTCTGATATATTAGTGGATTTAGGCGATAAATATTCAAGTAAAGTTCATAAAAATAGAGTTGAGCCATATACATGTTAAAAAAATATTTGAGAACTGTTTTATTCATTACTCTCCTGGCAAGTATAATGGTAGAAAAATGATACAGTGAAAAGTGGAATGAAGTGAATTTTGGAGAGTAGAACATAAGTATAAGGAGTAGCTTAAGTATGCATTGATTATAGTGTAAGCAGGAGATATGTTGTATTTGGGGACAATATAGTTCAATCACTTAGTAGATAACTATCGATTATACCATCATTATTTACTGATCGCTTCGTCAGAGTCAGTTGATCTCTAGGTAATCTTATACAACAAAAATTTCTGACGACCTGGCTAAACGATCAACGAATATGATACTCCTTGATAGAGATAAATATCACAGTAAGTTCTAATCGTGTGACATTCGCCTAAGTGTATCACAGACCCATGAAATCTCTCCATCTTCTCCAAGCATTTAAGACGACTAGTTCCAGAGCCACTATTGAACCGCTTATTATGTGCTCCACTAGAAACGCGAGCTCACTATCACCTCGTACCTCTTCATAGAATTTCAAAATGCACATCCGCATCCTATTGGTACGGAATCCTTCATTTTGAATTCGCGTAACAATCTCAGCAAGTTTATCTACCACACCAGGATTCAATACATTTAGGATTTTTTACCAACAATATCATTGGTCTCACAATAAGCGTAGTGTATTAATTTTATCTGCCTACCGTAAACTCTGATGGTGTTAGCCCCGTACATATAATTATAGGTTAGAGAATCCATTATGGTTCGTTTCAAATATAGCCTTTCTAGGTCCAGATCGAAGACGTCCAAAGTGTTGTCGCTGGGGTAGTAGTGGACCAGAAAATTGTTAAGGAAGGCAACATCGTGGTCATACCATTCAGCATATAAGGACAGTTTGTCATTGTAGCCGAACTTTTCATCATTCGCACTCATAATTACGTTAGAAATATGTAGAACAATGTTTTGTATATGTCAAAGAAAATCAAAATTGTCTGGGATATCAAGCTGCTAGCGATTGTCATCCTGGTGACACCTGTGTCGTCAGGTTTCATAAAGTAAAATATATACAACAGTAAATTTGTAAGGAAATATTAGGAAACAAAATTTCTCTTTAATATTTCTGACTTTAGCGATTTCACTTTTCTAAAAGGAAAGATTAAAAAATGTATGGATTGATAGGTAACCTATTTTCACAGTACTGTACTAGGTTCTGACTTTTTTTGACGTTTAACTAAGAGCAAAGGTCCACCGGACCGCCCTGACGAATAGTAGTCTTTTGATGTGAACATGATCAGCAATGGCAATGATGTTTTACTTTTGCTTCGCCCATGCCAACTCAAGGAAACATTATTTTATTTAGGTTTAAGAGATTTTATATTATATTGGGTAGTGCCTTTCCTGTCTGACAGGAAATTCAAAACAAAAGTCAATGGAATGACATCCGCAACGTACAGTATTGACATTGGAGCAACGCAAGGCTCAGTTTTGACACCCCTTGTAATCATACTATATATAAGTGATTTGAATCTCTATGGATTTGTAACAAACTATGCGGATGATACGTCAGTTCTTGTCAGTCTAACTACACGCAAATATAAATGAAGTCAAAGATGAAATGAATGAGTGGTGCCGAGCAAATCGTGTGATTTTAAGCCTTGAAAAATCTGATGTACATTTTTATACAATCGCCCCTATTCTAGCAAATCAAAAGGCATCTAAAACTACGACGTTCGCGGGAATAGAAATGGGTGCAAAGCTCAATTGGCAACAACACATGGACAGCGTGTGTAAAAAGTTGAACCAATCATATTATGCGATTCTTAAGCTTAAGTTTTGCTTATCAGAATCAGCTCTTCTAGATGTGTATTATTCTCTCGACCACTCAAATTTATCAAGACACATCATAAATTGGGGTCAATCAATTTCTAGAGCATTTGTTTAACAGAAAAGGATAATCAGATTAATATTCAACATCCATAGAGACAATCATGCAGAGAGATCTTCAGAAGTAAGAACATCATGACTCAACCAAGCATTCATATTTATGAGTGCACCCTTTTCACACATACAAACAAAACAAAATGTGTACAGAACAAAAACATCAATCCACATTATAGCACAAGGGCAGGTGAGAGTCTAAGTATTTCAAAACACACACTGACGCTGTTTGAAAAGTCACCACAATGCACTTGCATTAGAATATATAACAAACTTCCAGATAACCTCAAGAATATCAGTAGCATTGCCAGTTTTAAATGTTAACTACGAAAATTATTAGTTGAAAAATGTTTCTACTGTCTGTATGCCTTAAATTGTTCCTGTTTGTACTTTGTAAATATATACTTATGTTTATTTTGCTTTACTTTCAATTATGTGTGCTATGTACGAGGACGAGTCTTATGTCGTTTTATGATCTACAAGACAATAAATGTATCTATCTGTCTATCTAACTAGCGACTGACTTTGCACATTAACCCATCCCCATTGACATCTTTGTTTATTTGTAGCCTCAAACATGACCTCCATCCGCCATCTACTAATAGCTTTCCAGATTACCCCCCATTAATCAAATTATTTTGGCCGTGTTTCTAGTTCAACCAATTCGACCAGTTTATAACCAAACGTATTCTATTCATAACAATGCTGTCATTCTTAAAACCTGGAGGGTTAATACGTAAAAAACCTGTGTAATGTCAAATGAGACAACAATATGTCATCCTGCTGACTAGATAGGAATTATGTGCATATTATTCATCCCATTATTGCTTTTTATAAGCCCTATCAGTACCAACAAAAGCGTTATGTGTTAAGGAATAACTCAACGAAACGTTCAATGACCAGCTGCAAGTCAGTTCTCCAGCATACTTTGTTGGTACTCGTAGTAGAATGCTGAAATCTGAGAAGCCGTGATAAAGAAAATTGGTTAAGTAGCAGAGTAGCAAGATCGCATGAGTATCAAATGAGTGATATTTACTATGTGAGAAAACTATTACTGAATATTCTGCCCATGAAGTATATCTATTAGCTGCACCAGACGAGTCATTTGTGATGTCTTTTCTGAAGAGAGGTTATGTTAAAAATTATAAAATATGATTATCCCCTGTTTTTTGCGTTTTGAAAACTTTGAGAAGCAATACAGTAAATCACCACCGCGCCCGCGATCTGTGTAATTAAGCCACATCGCACGCGCAGTGTTTTCGCAAACATAAATTTCTATAAAATTTAAATGACGTTCCATAAATATTCCTGTCTGTGACATATTTTCTCACCAGTTGGTTGTAACATGCTTTGCCAACGAGGGATTTTATTTTCTTACCTCTCTCATTTTTTAAATTCGACAAATTTGCAAACGTAATTTTCAGGATGAATAATAAAACGTAGATGCTCAACTAATTTCTAGCTTTGCGTACATCTCATGTAAGTGAATTTGAGACAGGAAACCAATGGAATTATCAACACAGATTATTATTATTATTATTCCTCACTATGAACCTATTCACTGCCGTTTCCTTATAGCTATAGTATCGAACTTATTGCTTCGACTTCCAATAATACCATCTCTGAAGCAAATGTTACATCACATCAGGACCAAGCATTGATAGTCAAAGCGTCATGACGTTTAAGCAACACATACAGCTACAGAGCGAGTGCACATGAAGTAAATAACAGCTAGTTCTATGTTGACAGTTGGTAGAAAAACCTACAAAATGTCACAAAAAACCCATATATAATATAACAAAATACATAATGTCACTTTTCAAGATACGTAATACCCCTGCTGTCTAAAGCCCGTAAGCAAAACAAGTTCAAAATTTGCAGCACAAAAAATGTATAGTAATCCAAATGTCGGTCCAAACCAATACGACAACCCCACTTCCATTGAAATTAATTGATTACGTCATTATCCGAACGCACGAGTATCACGTATGTTGAAAAGTGACATTATGCCGATTTTTTTTGACATTATGCTGTTTTTTGACATTATGTAGGCCTTTCTACAAGATATTAACTTAGCACTTAGTTGTACGTGTTGCCTAAACGTCATTAGGCTTGTTATCAAACTTTGGCTCTGATGTGATGTAAAATCTGTTTGTTGCTGGAGGTCTAAGTTGTAAGTTGTATGTGTTGATGATAATTACATTGGGTTCTTGTCTCAAATACACTTAATTGAGATTCAAGGCTAGCTGCGCATCCACTTTTTCTTATCCATTCTGGAAATTACATATATAAATTTCAAAAATGAGAGAGATAAGAAATAATTATATTCACTGTACACTGTCGAATTACAATCCATATACATGCTAACAGTAATTACACACAACGCGGGCGCGGTGATGATTTCCCGTAAGTCTCCTCAGTTTTTCGCAATTTATAACTTTGAACATAACCTCTCTTCAGAAAGCACAACAAAAAAATAACCCTTCGGGTACAGCCAATACATATACTTCATTGGCAGCATATTTAGTAATGATTTTCTCACACTGCAAATATCACTGATTTTATACACATGCAGACCAATACACATAATCATCCAGATGCGATCTTGCTATTCAACCAACTTTTTTCTCAGAGATAAAAACTACATACAAGAAGAAGAAGAAGATGGACGTTCACAACGATCCTAGTGAGCAAACGTGGAATGAATATTTGCCCCCTAAAAACTACCTAGTTTACAAGATGACATCTTATAGGTTTTTTTTGACGTTTTATAGGTTTTTTACATGATACCCGTGCCGTCCATTACCTCTCTGTCAAAAAATTCTGTCATTTCTATGTCAACCAGAACCAGAACAGATGCGTAAAGGATTCGCTTATTGTTAACAGATGAAAGGTCACAAATAGCAGTTAATTCTCTATGTTTTCTGACCTTGATTTTGATTCGCTGCCCCGTAGTGTATCGCTTCATATCAAATCTTCCAAGCCACCAAATCCTTAAATGATTAAAAGTAAACTTTACCGCTCACTTCACTCCACACAATAAGGCCAAATTTTATTAGAAAAGAAACAAACAATCTCCGATTTGTAAAAATATTCTCTACCAACGTCTGTGTCAGCCAGGCTTTACGTTTGTTGCATCAACCAGAAGCATAATGCAGTAGTTGCTGCACCAATTAAAGGATCAGTCTTGTTTAGACTTTTGACCGTGTGAAGGATGTTAAGTATACGTTACGACAACTTGTTACAATGACATAGTTTCTCACCTACCTATTAATAGTATATTAGTTATATTAGACGTAATACTCTGTAATCTTCTAGTAATTTGAATAATACACTTGTCTTTTAACCTAATAAGAGTACAAAATACTGATTCGGCCGACTATCAACTACAACAAGAATGCTCTGACTCTTCTGGATTGGGTTCCTTGTAACCTAGTCGGCAGACAGTTCAAAAATCCGTCGTAGATGCTGAAGCAATTATCGAGATAAAAGGTACGCATGTCACAGCACCGCTGTTACGTAACTGGAAATATGACGTCAAGTACTGCACTTCCTACGCAACACCGTCATAAGTTCATAAAGGACAAAGCTCAGCACAAATTATACCCGGTTGGTTACGAACATGTACAACAGAGAAATTCAACGGATCAAGTCAGTCAAATAGGGTCATACAATTAGTCCATAGTTATTATTTCCAAGTGCTACCAGGAATTACGAGCAGAATTAATTAGGCAGACCGTTAAGCCGGGCGTTGAGTTCAGATAGCAGAAGGAGACGCAAATCGAAAACATTGCTCTAACAACAATCTCCCGCACCCCACATTTTTACCTTTTTCTCCGCCGCTACTGGACCGATTTCCAAAAACTAGGCATCTTTTTGTCATTGGCATAGTACTAACTTTGTGTCAAAATTTCATCAAAATATGAGCGGTACTTTCCTAGTTAAACCCCCTAGGATTAGCGAAAAGACCGACAGACAGACCGACGAAAATGAGT